AATACTATAATTATAGCATTAGTGCTTTGGTCAGAACCGGCGCTAGAGGGTAACCAAAGGGTTCGGGACCCATATAAAATGTCGTTGACACCACCAAGCTAATGTCGTCCATTAATATAATATTAGATTTATTCTATATTTGGCCCCATTATGTGTCTAATTACCAGCAACCCACCATTCCATCGGGTAAGATTGAATGTGACTCTTTTGTAGCACACCCATAATTGTAAATACGGAATGTGTTCAGCAACATATCGTGGTCGAATTGAACCTTCTGCTACGCAGTCCGGTACGCTCATACTAAGCCAGGACTGGCTACAATAAAGAAATAATTTTGTTTGTTTGTTTGTTTTAGATACTGGTTGTTATTAAACCGTGAAAATACTTCTTTGAATGAAGATACACCGAACCGAATTTTGTCTTTTAAATAATTTATGAGAATCCAATCGTGAAAAATGTATGGACATTTCGGGAGCCCTGTAAAATAGAAAATGAATGGGGACATTTCGGGAGCACTGTAAAATAGAAATTGAATGGCTTTGTTACTCACGGATAAGCTCAACCCACTTAGATTATACCTAATAATGTAGAATTTCCATAGAAATCCTCCCCAGAGAACTCAACGGTAAGTCTGATGGCCTATAACACTAAAAATCGGCACAGCGGTATGTCTACGGACTTACAACGCTAGAAAATGGGTTTCGATACCCATGGTGGGCAGAGATAGCCCATTGGTGCGCTTAACTACAAACAAACAAACAAACAATCGTGTTTAGATATATAAGATAGCACATATTCAAAGGTCAGAGTCTTGAGTTGTTCTGATTAACAGTAGAACTGGCCTTGATTGGTCAACTGTGCGGGTAGAATAAAGAGAAGTATCGGTATAAACATATGGAAGGGATCTGTACAACTGCTTGCTTATAAACAAAACAAACGTTTCTATCCGCAAAGTGTGGTTTCCATTGGATATCTTCTGTTTTCACTTCCTTTCAGAACATGAAGTTTGAACGTTTTATTAAGGCTGCTTTACGTGTATTGCTTTATTTAAGCACACATCACCAACTTTAACCTACTTGCAGAGTGCGAAAGTAACTTGTAATTGTCATTTTAAATCGACCAAATCACTGAATATGTGTATATATGTGTTTTTATGCTATATCTAGATTTGATTTGTTTGTTTGTTTGTTATTAAGCACAAAGCTACACAATGGGCTATCTGTGCTCTGCCCACCACGTATATCGAAACCCGGTTTTTAGCGTTGTAAGTCTGCAGACATATCGCTGTGCCACTGAGGAGCTCTAGATTTGAACCTTGTTTGTTTTATCTTATTGAAACCCATTGGTGGTAATTTGGGGGAGAGATGGGGTTGGGGGCAGCCACCCTAAACAAGCCTTAATTTTTAGAAACGTCTGATTAATGGGTTATGTTTATGGGAAATGAATATTATTAATATATACAAAGTAAAAACTCGACATTTCTATGTTTTATTTGTTACTCTGGCTCTTACATAGTTACTACTGTTGATGTGTCAACACCGAAACGTGCTACGTCATCAACAATTCATTTTTTGTGTGTAAAGAAGTAGAGTTCAACTTTGCCTCACCCCTC